TCAAAAATGATAAGCTCCAACGCTAAACCCAGAACCTAACAAAGGACAGACTGAAGAGGGGTAGGGTTTCAGCTGAGTTGGTGGTAAGAACCCCGTGCCGAGCCTGGCAGACATCAAAAGTCCGAGGGGTGAAAAAACATCCTAGCAAAGACCCAAAATGTGTAGCGAAAATAAGCCCCAACACCAAGCCCTAAACCTCTAAACCGTATGGTGCCAGGTCATAACCTATAGTCTCATGCTACTAATTTTTGACTAGTTTTGCGTACTGCATCAGGAACATCTCTGCATAGAAACAGAAGCCTCCGGCTAGTCAAGTCAAAAGAGTAGCTCTGGCAGGCTGCTCAGCATGCCAGGCGGCGAGCGAAGCAGCTCAATGATCCTCATCTCACCGGGCGGACTCTGACTGGTCGCACTTTTTCGGTAACGGCCCCCTCAAGCTCCGACCCGACTGAACTCTTACACCCTGGCCTGGTTTAGGGTTTAGGTTCAGGGTTTAGGGTTTAGGGTTTAGGGACCCTCCTGAAACCCCCAAGCCCCCTAAATCCTTACATGGGCGTTCGCAAGAAGACAGGTCCACCTCATGTACCCCAAACTCATCAGCATCCTTAATACGGGCATCTTACGACTACCCCTGAACCCTAAATCCTATGCCCTAAATTTTAAACCCCGAGCCCTCAATTCTAAACCCTTATAAACCCTAGCCCCTAAATTCTTAACCCTAAACAAAAATACTTCCGCCCCTAAGTGCCAAGGTTGCTGGCACCGCAGGGCGTGACTCCACGCGACGAGGAGGCTTTTTGTCAGAAAGAATGATGTGGGGGTTTCCCAATATGAGCCATAATCTAAATTCCTTAAGGGGGGTGATATAGGGGATTATGTAGGGGACTATTATGGGGGTCATTAAGGGCGATATTACGAGTTTAGACTATAGTTCATATAATGCCTCTACAGGGGCTATAAGGGATATCTATATATATATATGTATATAGGGGTATATTAGGACATATAGGGTTTGGGATTTGGGGTTTCGGGGGTTTCTCAAAGTTAGGGGTAGCTTTTTCGGGGGTCCCTATAATCAGGATAATAGTATTTTCGGGTCAAAATTGGGGGTTCCTCCTATTCAATCAAACTACGCACCATGCAAAGTTCAGGGTTCAGGGCTTCGGGTAGTTTCCTTCACAGCTGTCAAATCAGGCATTTCCCGCCTGTGATAGGATGCTTTACTTATTGCTTGTGTAGGGCTTAGGGTTTAGGGCTTAGGGCTTAGGGTTCAGGGTTTAGGGCTTAGGGCTTAGGGTTTAGGGTTTAGGTAATGAGGGAAGATCTTGACGTTACACAGGGATAATGGAAAAGAACATAGAAAACTGGTTGCTAGTAGGAAATATCTTGGGGTTATAAGTTATCAAAGGATAATGGAAAACAAAATGCAAAACTGGTTGCTAGAAGGGAATAAGGCTATAGATTGGGGTCATATAGGGATAATGGAAAATGGAAACTGCTATTATAATAGGGTATATATCGGGGTAATGGTATGGAATAAGGTTTTTAGGGTTTAACTTAGTTTAAGGTTTACGGGAGAGAAAGAGAGCGAGAGAGAGAGAGAGGTTTTGGGCTTTGGGTCTAGGGGAGACTGAAAGAGAGCGAGACATAGAGTTTGAGGTTTGAGGTCTATAGCGGAGAGAGACAGAGAAACAGAGCGAGGAATATAATCTCTGTATAATCCCTATATAACATGTTCCCATATTCATTATACAAAAAAACCAGTAAGTTTATGAGGATTTTCGGGCACGGCGAACATTTACATTGTTTCAGTAGATTCAGAAAGAGGGTTCCCCTAAACCCTGAACCCTCAACCCTAGCCCCTCAACCCTAAACCCTAAACCCTAAATTCTGTGATCTATGCATGTCCGGGCCCTTTCAGGTGGCCATCATAGAACCTTTACAGGAGACCCATCCGCAAGATACCATCCCTAAGTGTCCAAGAATAATCTGGTCCCTTTAAAGGGGTTATGGGGTGATATATAGGGATATGTGGGGATTATAGAAGGGGTATATAGGACCCCCAAATTTTAGGGGTTTAGGGCCAAAAAACCATTAACATTATAGTATTTGGGCCCTAAAGCCCTAGTATTTGAGTCCTTGGACCCTTTAGGAATAGCGCAAGATGTTACAGCGCCCAACGAGATCAAGAGCCCCGCAAACTGGACGGAAACCCCAAAAAAAGATCACTGGAAGGGATCATTGTTCTAGGCTCTTGCTCCTTCATGTCCTACGTCATTCTGAAGAGGGACAGCACATTACCCGTCTATCTCCAAACCCTACCCCATCTATCTAGGTTCGCAAGGGCGACCCCATTTTGTGAGACTCCCTTCGACGTTCCATGTTTGTTTCGCAGGAGGGTAGTCCAGCAAACACTGCCTCAGGTAGCCATGTGTTTGGAGTACCTCCAACAAGCAGAACGGCGCTGGCAACAAATCCTTTCTCAATAGTCTGGAGCCACTCGGCTGATTTTGGCGAAGAGCTTTCTAAGCCCTAACCCTAAAAGCCTCTTCCGCAGACGGGCCAATACCCTTGCTACACATGTCATAAGTCTAAAGTACTGCTGGCATTTCTTTAGTTGGGAGGAAGGAGCTTTCACTACTTGAGCCTACATCAGCAGAATTTGCTTGGCTGGCTGCACTCTACCATATCCTCTGCTGTTTGCTACTCGGTTTTGTCGGTGCCCATATTCAACTGGTGGCGACGAACGCCTTGCCAGGACTTAGGCTTAGTTATCAGCGCAGGGTGCCACAATATCATTGACAATGGTGCAGAGCAGCAGATATACATCTATGTATGTGCACATATTTACATATACACGTATGAGTGTTTAAAGTGCGGAAAAGCGATCCACTTGTGGTCATTGTTTGTCAAGGATAGTTTTTCAAATCCAGCAAGCCCGCAGAAAGCTTTACATATGCAATCCGAACGATTTCGAATTGCGAGTGTCGCAAGCAAGTCAGTGAGAATGCAGGCAGCAAGCCCACAATCGCCCGTAATGAGGTGTCTGCTGTACTACATGTAGTTCTCGCGCTAAATACAGCCCTCAGTTTCATAGCATGTTGCGTCTCAAGACGAGTGGTCCATTGGTACGGTGCTCCACCGAGCTAATGAAATAGGTAGCTAAATTGTGACGTATCTGAAGCCGATTGAGGAGATTGCTGCAAGATTGCCAACCAGGAAGAAGTTCTTGTTTTTGTGTTTTTGCGTCCTACAGAGAGTGGAGCCCTGCAAGACATTGCATCTGGTACACAAGGACATATTAGGTTTATATTGAGGATAATGGAAAATGGGGGATTATAGGGTTTATAGGGTTACAGGGATGGGATATCATGGTAGGGGTTATATTGGGGTTGGGTCTGATGGAAAAGCAAATGGAAACTACTATAATGCGTCATACAGGGTTGCAGGGTAGTTGTACTCGACATCCATTTTTTATGGCAAGGTCTTCCTCCAATTTGTGTGCACTGCAACTGGCATACATACATGATTTCTTGGTACATTTGTAGTCCCAGTTGAGTAGATAGAATATGGGGTATATGGGGATCTCATGATAATATACCCAAAGCCAAATTCTATCTATTTAAGGGACTACATACTGTATGTGTATACGTGTGTCCTGTACTGCTTCAAACCTTGCATGATCCTTACATGCTCTCTCTTCTGAGGCTGACCTTCCTTTGGCCTTCGCCAGGGACAGTAGCGCAGAGAAAAAACAAGCGCGTGCCATCCGGGAAGATACATGTTGACAAGACTGGTAGGTAGTTTCCCAAGTTAGTGTTCATTTTTCATAGCCTAGACGGGTTCACAAGTTTGGAAGCTCCCTGTAGCAGCGCGAATCCCATAACTTACCATCGTGCCCTGCCAGAATAGATTCATCATCCATTACATCTTCTCTCGGAGGTGACTGGAGGCACTAGGGACCTCTGGGAAGAGGTCGCATGTTTGTGAGCATCTTTCCATGCTGAGTTCTGATCCTCTTCCACGCATGTATGTCGGGCTCTTGCAGCTTCGCATCAATCCGCAAGCGTGGATTTGATCCTTTTCCCACGGACCCCGTGTCTTCAGCGGTACCAGCAGTGCCAGCAAAGATCATCCAAACATGATTAACAACTAGCGTAACTCTTGCACCTGCACTTCAAAAGTAGGCGATATCATGACCAAAAAGCCAGAGAAGATAGCCATCAGGCCCTTGTGCTGTAATTATACTTCGAAGGTTAAGGTAAGCGAGCTTCTGTACCCCAACCTTCAAGCCAACCTCCACCGTCTGAGCACCCAAGGTGTGCTCCCCAAACTCTATACGCAACCTTCTTCCCCTCCCAAAACCCTGAAGATCCTGCACGGCCCATATGGTAGAAACCCAGACCCTAAGCCCTAGACCGGAAACTAAACCCTAAGCCCGACACCCCAAACCCTCACTCGCATGGTAGCTGCTCTTCGGCTGTTTTTCCTTCTTGCTTCGAGTAGCTTCTCCTGCAAGGCGGGACTTGCTGAACAGTTGCGTAGTTACTACGCCGCAGTATTTTATATAGACTTGAGATTATATCCTCCCTTTGAATATAGTAATTTAAATACATGATATATTCTTACTTGGTTCCAGCACAAAAAGCGTTATTCAGCTGGGGATTAGATGGATCGTATTAGCAGGCCAAGGGGTAACAGAAGGTTTTTGAAGATGCAGGAAACATGATTGCCTCGTGGTTTGGTGTGGTCGCACAAGTACCTCAAATTTCTGGAGCTGTATCTTTCTGGGGCTTAGTATGGCTTAGCATCAATCAAACTGTCACCTTAAGACATGCAACTTTCAATAGAGGGAAGCTTGAGCCCCACAAATTGCGTCAATCAGAATGGCAGCTCTTCCACCTAGAGTTGTGCATCTCAACATAGAAAGAACCGAATGCCAGTGACCAACATGGGATTTCACCAGGAGAAAGACAGCAGAAACCTGCTCAAGTCGCCAGGCAGCTATGTCCGACACTTCAGCCGACTCGCCAACACGAGTTCGGGAAAGCGGCATGCCTCCAGCCGCCTGGCGGGTAAGGTCAACATCCCCAAGCTAGGATGGCTTTGGGCGGGTTTCTCAAATTTGGGTCCTACCCATCCTCTGGGGCTCTGGCTATATAAATAATACCTACATTGGGCCCTAAACCCCATAAATAGTAGCTACATGGAGCCTTGGGGAGCCTGAAGAAAGCAGCCCGGATTGCGTGTCAGCTTCAACAGGTCAGTCAGCCAGTACCGCCCTTTGATGCCCACCCATATGGTTTTAAACAGCTGCGCAGGTTTTCTTGTGCTGGAGTCCGCTGGGGGATGGTTTTGTGATCCATGATCATCCCAAACGGTTTTGACAATGTACTGTTTACTTTTATGCGCTCGCACTACTATTGCCAGTATTGCCCACTAGAGGCAAGCCGTGAAGAATTCATGAAAATTGTCCTTCTGCAGTTCAATTCAGGTGATGCAAGTTGCTAGCAAAGTCTGCTGCCTGAACCCTGATTTGGCACACCCCCCCAAAAATCTCTACTCAGGTTGAATACTGGGAGACCTTGGTGGATCCGGAGGCTATGCCACTCGGCAAGCCATGGTGTATGGCAGCTCCGAAGGTCCTCCCTCCACAGAAACGTGGAACCCCAAAAGGAGTCCGTTTACCGGTGCTTGGAGGGTCAGGGGGACTTAGTAAGTAGGCTGAAAATGGGATAATTATGGTTACTATATGGGTTATAGGGGTCATTAACCTATTTACTAAGTCCCCGTGACCCTCCAAGTACCTCAAGAGCATGTAGGATTCGAGCCGGGTTTGGCTCTCTTCATGGGTTCAGGCGATTCTATTACCTACTTCCAGGGTTCGAGAACAGGTAACAGTATGTCTATGTATAAAGGGGATCTATAGGGTTGAAATTGAACAGTGCTATGTTCTGGAAGAGAGAGTGGTGCTTTGCAATTGGTGGGTGCGTCAAGAGGACGAGAAATCCTCGTAAGCCACCAGTATTAGTATTTCGGGGAGAAGGCTAGTTCAGGGGTGGCTGGCAAAAACTTGACTCATGCAGGCATCGTTTGTCAGTGGAAAGGCCAAGGCAGCAGCACATGCACTGCCGCCTTTCGCACGTCCTTACGCCGAAAACTCGCAAGGGGCTTTCTCCGAATTCTGTCTCCGAACATGGTTTTCCAGGTACTGCCACAAGGAGTAGTACTCTCTGTTTTTTTGGGAGGGTGAGTTCTGCTCAGGAAGGCTACCAATATGTCTTTGCAGTCCTTACATTGTATAGTAGAGCCGCAGACGTCATTCGTCATACAGTCTGCCTGCTTATGCGTTTCAAGGCCCCTGAAGGATGGCAATGTCTGATTGTGGGGTGAGGTACCCCTGTGGGTGCACATGAATCCCCAAGCCCGGCTAGGGGGGTTGCCCGCTACTTGTTCTATGGCATAGCATAGGGGATTTTGGAGACATGCTAAAAGAGGGTTATGGGATGTTTCTGCAGGGGTTCTCAAGGATTTAGTTTGCATGGTGTGTCAACACGCATACATGCGAAGGGTTCACAGATGGATTTGGAAAGTTCTGAGAGCGTATTAAGGACGATGTGGAGAAAATACGGGGTTTGGACCCCTAGACCCCAAAGCCTGACATCTTTATCTCGAAGGTTCGGTCTCCATTTTTCTTGGTAGGTGCTGAAGACCATCCCATGAGCAATCCTGCATGGAGGATGTGATGTCGACGCCACCAAAACCCTAAACCCTAAAACCCTAAACCCTAAGCCCTAAAACCCTAAAACCCTAAACCCCAAGACCTAAAACCCTAAACCCTAAAACCCTAAACCCTAAACCCTAAAACCCTAAACCCTAAAATCCTGAAACCCAGGCGAGGCAGCCACGGGAGCTTGGAACAACGCTTGGGGTGCCACCCAAAGAAAAGGTG